TAAAAAGAAAACCCTGGCAAGAAGACAAAAAATTCATTTTAGTTGTGACCTTGTATAGTCAGACAAATTAGCACAACACAGACCAATAATTCTGAAGGAATCAGGCAGTGGGGGTTATGAAAACCTACTGCTTTTAGTTCTCCCTTTCCTTATTTTCCCAAAAATTTGTTTTAGAAATATAAGAATCCTTTTGGTCTCCATTTAAAAAATAATTTGACTAAGGAATACACAAATGTCTTCCTCTAGCAGCATGGCAGTAAGAAAAGTAAAGGATGGTAATGTTTTTGTCTGAACAAAATGAGAAAGTATCATAGCAACGTATTAAAACTGTTCACTTTAAATCTTGATGTATTAGAGCAGAAATGATTTCAAAGAATCTTTTCAAGAACTTCTAAAAACAGTTTTCAACATACTCTCCTGACATCATCTTAAACAAAAATATTTTACAATTATTATTTGATAATGTGATAGAAATGTTTTAAGACAACAATATTTTTGTCCATGTGGTGAATCCCCCCATATTCCAAAGTATTCAAATGACAAAATACATTTAAGCTTACTATGTTTGCTGAAGACATGAGATGAAAGAATTATTATCTAGAGTTAACATTTTATAACAAGGCATAGATAGATAAGAGAATCAAAAGTTTTTCTGCTTAGAAATGTTTTCTAAAAAACAGATTTCCAATAAAGTGAAAATTGTGTCCATAGCCTATTATAGTCAACTCTTATTACTGCAAATTACTCTTATTCTGACCCAGCCTACAAAATAGCCCTGGGCCTGAAGTTAAAAAGCAATGATATGGAGTGGAAGACAGATTCAGGCATCATTCTAAGGTCTATATGCTATCTATTCTCTAATGGTGATATGACCCGTACTTCTCACAAACTACCCATGTGGATGAAGTCACCAAAAATATAATACACAAGATGAAAAATGGGCTGGATAAGAGTACTATTAGGTGAATTTATACATAATTCAACAAGTCAAAGAACATTAAGACCAACATAAAGTTGTCTCTGACGAGGTGCCACAGGGATTTGCCCTTGGATCGATTCCAGTTTACTACTTTCATCAATGCCTTGGATACAATCATAGAAAGCATAATTACACAATCTACAGGTGACACAGAACTAGAAAGGTGAGTTAATACAGTAGGAAGAACCAAAGATTCAAAGTTAACTCTACAAGACAGTGCATTACATTAAAAACAACAATGTTATATTTAGCAAAGATTTGTATAGAGTGCTATACTTAGTTACAAAAAAGTCAATTACACACCAAATTCAGGGTATAAGAGACCTAGATTGGTCATGTGGAAAAAAAAGCCTTTATTTTTGACTCTTTAATGACTTAATGAATAAAGAGTGTATTGCAGCTTCAGTTCATGTAATTAGATACATTAATCCATAATATCCAGAATCCAGAACAAAGAGGTACAGGGTATGATAGTAGTCTGCAGCAATCAGCAGACATCTGAAGTACTATGTTGAGCTCCAAGCATATTTTAATGAATGGCACTGTGAAGGCGGGATGATGGGATAGGAAGGGGTTAGGAAGCAAACAGTATGATAAGAAGTCTGGAAACCATGACCTGGTTTGGCCTGGAAGAGAAGATACAAAAAGGCATAAGAACTGTCTTCAAAAAACTAAAGGACTGTTACCCTAACAAAGGATGAAATTTGTTCTGGGCTGTACCAGAATACAGGTGTCCATTTATACGTCCAATGATAGACTGGGCTGTTGTGCTATAAAATAAGCTCTATATCACTGGAGTTATATAAGCAGAGGTTAAATGACCATTTGTCAGGAAATCTGTAGTAAGTATTTCCAAAATGGGTGGGAATGATGAGGAGGACTTCTAGGTCCCTTCCACCCTACATTATACCAGTTGTAGCAATTCTCTATCCCCAAACTAATATCATATGTCAATAGAAAGGTCAGTAGAAAATTTAAAAACAAGCACATCCAACCAGAACAGAATAATCAACACATGCCTATTCAATTTCTGAATATAATTTATATACTTACACCATCTTAAAATTTAAACTCCTAGAAAATAAAAACTAGCTTCAATAATACTCTACATGGCAACATGGTATTATGGAAGCATTCTGTCAGCACTCAAAACCCATGAGAACCTTTTCCAAAAATAAAATGAGGTCTCATATGGCATAGGGTCTTTCATTTGCCTCTATATACAGCTATTACACATACTATTAGTTGCATTCTAGTGAACTGGAGACATCTAAATAGCATGGTAGATAGTGTTAGACTAGTTTCAAATCTCTCCTCAAACTCTCTCTAGTTGTGCAACTCTGGGCAAATCACTTAACCTCTCTGGGTGCCTCCTGCATAAAATGGGGATAATAATAGCACCTATCTCACAGGGCTTTTATGAGGATCAAAGGAGATCAAATACATAAAGGGCTTTACACACCTTAAAGTACTATATAAATGCTGGAAGATTTTTGTGTCCTTAGCACCAATCACTGCCTACTGCATATGGAAGACACTTAATAAATGTGTCTTAAACTGAATTTATTCATAGTTAAAAATCAATTATGTGGCCCCACTTTTTTTCTACTTTTTAATGTGAAAATTTACATTTAGGTTCAAAATAATACAAAATGTAGGCTCTGATTAAAAACTAATGAAATATATCAATTATCTCAGATAAGCATCTGATATCCAAAACATACAGGCAACTGACAGAAATACAAAAGACAAAAAGTCATTCTCCAATAGATAAGTGGTCAAAGGATATTAACAAGCAGTTCTCAGAGATTTGCAAAGTATTTTACAACTATGTGAAAGAAGGCTCCAAATCACTAATAGTATCATAACCACAAATTAGCAATTATGACAAAGAGTAATAGTCAATGCTGTTGAGGTTGCAGAAAGACAGGCACATTAACGCACTGTTGGCAGAGCTGTGAATTGGTCTAACCATTGGGAAAAGTAATTTGGAAAGCAAATAAAGTGACTAAAAATGTCCATAACCTTACACCCAGATATTCCATTGCTAAACGTTTACCTCAAAGAATAAATGATAAAAACAAAGTTACCAAATACACTAAAATACTTATAGTATCACTTTTTTTTTGGTAAAAGCAAAGAACTAGAAACAAAGTCCATTAATTGGAGGAATAACTAATTAAGTTGTCATACATGAATATAATAGAATACTACTATACCGCAAGAAAACATGAATATAAAGAATACAGGGAAGCAAGGAAAGATTCCTATGAACTCATGCAAAATGAAGTAAGCTGAACCAGAAAAATAATATAGACAATGACTACAACAACGTAAATGGAAAGAATAACAATAAAATAATCAAAACTGATTGCTGTAAAACTATAAATACCAAGCTTGACCCCAGAAAAGAAAAGGTATCTTTGCCTTCTTCCTTATAAAGGCTAAGGTCTACGGCTATGGAACACTGCACATTATGTCATACTTTTTAGAAAATTTGTTAGTTGGGCTAACCTGTTTTTTCCCTTTTTCATTCTTTGCTACATAGAATGACTATCCGGGAGGGGAGTGAAGGGGGAAGAATGGGAATTGTAGGTGATGCAAAACCAAAAGATATCAGTAAAAATTTTTTAAAACTAATGTGACAATTATTAAGTCACGCAATGTAAAACTTAGTACGATAAAATCCGTACATGTATTTTGAGACTCCTCTTCCAAAATTTTATAAAGGCCCTGGATGTTTGAAGGCAATGGCTCAAAAGATCAAAGATTAGAGCTAGAAGGGACTTTCTCAGAGGACCACTAAGCCGAATGTCTTCTTTTTAGATATGAGGTAAATGAGGCCCTGAGAGGTTAAGTGATTTGCTAAATTCACACATGTAGCAAGTAGCAGAGACAGGATTTGAACTCTGGTCCTATTAAATTGGTTAAAGCCTGACTTCTGAAAATACCTTGAATTTCCTCTAGCAAATACAGACAGAGCCCATTTCATTTCTCTCCAGCCTCTCATTTGCAGTACTTTTCTCATTAAAAATACTCATCTATATCTCTTGTGCTGGTTCAGTGGCCTCCCTGGTCTACCCACAGGGCCACTTAAAACCACAATTTCTACTATTACAAACAATGGTGAGGACAGGTAGTCCCTCCTTCCTCTAATAAAACTTGACTATAATTGCATGAAACTCTCCTGTTCATTGATAACTTCTTTACTGCCTCTCTGCCTTCTCACCAAAAAATTAATTACTACATCTACATTCCCCACAGGTAGTAGCCTGTTAATATTTTATAGCTCTGGGTATTAATGCAATGTTAATTAAAACTTTGAGGTTTGGACCCAAATTGAAGAATTTCCTATACATAACAGTAGGTCCAGTACTATATCCCATCAGTTTTCCAGATACATTTTCTTGGGATTTGGGAGGGGCTCCTCTAATACATTTTACATAGTTGCCTACAAGTAATTTGCTTAGCAAATTAAGGAATTTTTCAAGGCATTCTGAGTCCAAAATTCATAAACCTGAACTACCTCTGTTTAGTAACTAATTCTTTTCTGATTCTACTCTAGATTTCTTTATATTGTGCCAGCATCTGACATTGAGATGGATAATCCAAAATAGAAATAACGAAAGTAAATCTACTGTATCAAGTGAAGTTAGAAAGGAAAAAGGGAAAAGGCTATACAAAGAAAAGAGCAAACAAGTAACAGTTAAAGTGACAGAGAATGAAATGTTTTTTCCAAATTTAAATGAGAGATTCAAAACTGAATCGAAATGGAAAAAATAAGCCACAAAGTAAAAACTACAATACTTGCCAGACTCTAAAACAAACAAAACCTCCTACAGTTTTATGTTCAAACACGAGTTCTTAAAAGTATGACATACTGAAAATTTCCTGGTATTTTAAGAATCACCTGCAATCAGCCCCTTTTCCATAAGTTTTTTTTTCAGTGACATCGTGATTTAATATTTAAGTATGTGCTCCAAAATAAACTCTCAACTCCTGAGAAACATTTGAAAATCACCTGTTTTGTCTCTCAATATTCTGTAGCTCCCTGTGGTCCCTTTTCAGATGTTTGGTCAAAGACGTAAAGTATTCTTTTAACAGGTTCTGGAAAGGCTGTTGCTTCTCTGGGCTGATTATTTCACTAGGAGGAAAACTCAAATTAAACTTCTCTGCAGCACCTTTCACTTTCCTTGGTATCAATCCAGCAATATCATCCCCACAATGCCGGCAAAAGCTAATCACCACAGACACATGAGTGTGGGATTCACGGTCAGCATTAATAATGTTTTTCAGCTGTTCATAGATTAAGGACAGACCTTCTTTGTCAGTGAAAATCCCGACTATGGTCAATTCTGCAATGAAACGCAAGTCAGTTCTTAGTTTGGTAATGTTAGGAGTTTTCTCCTCTTTTCTTGCTTCAAAATGTTTTTTCCAAACCTGAAGCAGAGATGGGGCGAAATCAGCATAGCGCTGGTGAAAGAGAGAGCACAAGTGCACAGCACAGTTCACATCAGAAATTTTTAGCTTAGCTTCCACAATAGAAGCAACAGCTTCTGCAATGTATTTGCTTAAATTGAGGCCATTAAAATCATGGGACAAGGAGTCTCTCTGTTGCTCTGTAATAGTTTTCAATTTCTTGACAAAAGCTGTATTTTTCTTCAAACTTGAGTCCAGTCTGCTAAAGAAATTCTCCTCTGGTCGGTTGTCTGGTGCATTTTGGTTTTTGCTTCGGAGTTCCTTCCTTGCTTGATGCCGTTCCCAGGCTTCCTGATGAAGCTGATGGGATTCTTCTTTCTCTCTACATAAAAAAACAAATAATATCTTATGTTTAAGTGAGTTATTTATAAATCATACATCATAAAAGCAGTGCTCTCATAATTCAAGCCCAGAAACTAAAGCAGAAATTACTGAACTAAAATGGTAGCACAAGCTTTATTTAACCAAGGCACTTGCATTAATGTTGGTATTCTTCCCAAAAATGCAAATGTTAACTTTCACTATTTTGAATATTTTGAGAATTGTCTTATGTGATCAAATGAAGAACATATTCATTTTATCAGCTGGTAGCACTAATTTTGGGTGATGAGACATTATAAATTACCAAATTAAATTCAAAATGATCTTAAGTTAGGAAAGTGGATGGTTAAAGCCAAATGAAATATAATAGGGACAATTAAAGGATAAAATATCTCTGAAGGAAAATCCTTGGCTTCAAGGGTTGGACTAGATAACCTTCAAGGCCCCTTTAATCTATAATATTATGACTGGGTTTGTTAAAAATAATGAGCAAGACCATTTTCCTCCACAAAGTCCTACTTCAATACCTCCTCATGATAGGTAATCCTAGGTTCCTAAAGGTTATGCAAGCAAAGTATGAGACCTGTCAAATGAGGACTAACAGTGTTTTTAAAAAATCCACAAAATCTTCAACAAAACAGATAAAATAGAGGACTCACAAGCTAAATTTAAGCCAACAATATAATACTGTAGTCAAAAAGTAACCAACAAAAAGATGAATAAAAATGTAGAAACCATACACCCTCTATTACACAGTGGTCAGGTGTTTAAAGAAGCAACTTGGTTGATTTGAAATGCCCAAAATCTGAAAGCAGACAGAAATATGAAAAGGAACTGCAGTATGGCAAGAGAAATTATTAAAGGTCTTACCATACTACCAAAGGTTAATGAACTATATATAAGTGGCCTCTATCAGAAGCAATATAGTGGAAAGACAAAAGCATGACTGGGTTGGAAGTCTAAGATCTACTATTTACCACCTGCATGAACTCTGAGACTCAGTTTCTTCACCTATAAAATAAGGAGTCTGGACCAGAAGATCTCATCCTTTCCAGATGTAAATCCTATGATTAAGTAATACCCATAAGAAATGAAACAGCATAGGGCAACATATCCCTTGTTAAATGCATAATTTTTTAAATCTGCTTTTCACATGAGTTGAAAACAATTTACACTCCCAAGAATTTTTGAAAAGTAGCTATGTGCCATTTATAATACAAAGAAAAATGAAACATAAAATTCAGGAAACCCTTGGGACTCAAGGTTTTGAATATTCTTAGGCCAACTACTGCTTTGATTCCAGGGGATACCCTGCTTCTTAAAGAAAGGTACTAAGATGTGTTCAGAAAAAGTGCAAAATTTTCTGCTCAAGAAAGGTTATGAAGGTTCCAATTTAATAGAATTAGAAAAACTAAAAGAACAGTGGAAAATGAAGTGCTCTACAAAGTGTACAGCTGTTCCCAATAATTTTTCCTAATATTCATCTATATTCAGAGATCTCTACAACCTGTAACCTGAAAGCTTCTGACTATCTTTTCCTTCCCACAAGATAATCTCCCCTCCTTAAGCCTCAAAGATACTGGATTCTCTTAGTTGTCTTGCCCATTTAATTCCTTTGTTTCTCTTTCTGGCTGTTCATCTCCTCCTCACCATTTAGAGAAGGGGCTACCCCAGTTCTATCTTTGGGCCTATTCTCTATGTACTCCCAGTAATCCCACTCATTTCCATGGCTTCAATTACCACCTCTCCAATTACCACACATCTTCAGCTAGATGTCTCACTTATAATTCAAACTCAACAGGTCCAAACCCAAGCTTGTTTTTTTCTTTAAATTAGCTCCTCCTGCTGACTTCATGATTTCTGTAGGTGCTGACATTATTCATACCATCTTTTTTTTTTGTAAACTCTTGACTTTTTCCTCCTTCCTTGCCTGTAAGATCCACTGAAAAGCCAATTCCAGTTCTTGCTACCAACCTCTCCTCTCTATTTCCACAGCCATCATGATGCCAGTTTAGAGTCTTCAATTCTTTTCTATTGGTCTGATTAGAACAGCTTCCTAACAGCTCTTTCCACTTCTATTACCTTCATACTATTGCTAGGATAACATCTGTTAAGCATAGATCTGGTCATGTCATTTCCCTGCTCAAGAATCCACAGGGCTCCCTGCCTACCAGTTTAACTTCCTTTTCCTGACATTCAAAGGCCTTCGAAACCTCAACCCACCCTAACTTTCCAGGCTTATCTTACATCACTTCACTCCAGACAAATGAGTTAACTCTGCCCCACCAAACATCCACTATAGTGATGTGTTTGCCACCCACTTCCCATCTTTGATAACCCACCCGGTAACAAACTTTCTACTAACAATTCCTATAGCATTCCATTTTGAAACTACTACTCACACGACTATTGATATCACAACCACCTAGATTAGCCCCTACTATAAGGTCCTTGAACTCACAATGGGAAATGTTATCCACATCCAGAGAAAGAACCATGGAGTCTGCATGCAGATTGAAGCATGCTATTTTCTCTCTTTTTTTTGGTTTCTTCTTTTCTTGTGGTTCCTCCCATTAGTTCTAATTGTTCATCATGATTAATGGGAAAATATGCTTAATATGAATGTATAAGTAAAGCCTATATCAGATTGCATGCTGTCTTGGGGGGAGGGGTAGAGTAAGGGAGAGAAAATTTAAAACTCAAAATCTTATAGAAATCAATGTTGAAAACTAAATATAAATTAATTATTTAAAAAACAAGTTCCTTGAGAGCAAGACCATTATAGTGTATGAACTTTATATCTCCCTGAAAACAATCGAAGTATTCTAGATGTTTGCTTAATTGATTTCACCAATTTTGAAATTAGGAAAGCTATTCTAACAGCTCAATTTATTTTCATTAGAAAATAGGTGAAAACAGTATCATATCACTTAAATAACTGTGAATTTTGCTTCATCTCACTGCCCTATACAAAACACTCTACTCATTCAATGTTTTTGGAATATATTAACTAAACAGACTCACTTAAGAACAGATTAAGAATTGATGATTTGCCAAATATGTCCCCAATTCAAAAGATGAAGTCAAAACTTACTCTTAAGAAAATAATTTCATTTTAATTGCTTTAAACGAAAATTAGAAAAAGATCTAGGAACACAAGTATTACATTTCTACAGGCTGATGACCTCTAAGGTTCTATACAGATTCTATACAGAAATAAGACACTCCTTACTTCAATTGAGCAGCTGCTTCTTCTTGCTGACGTTTCTCCCGCTCTTCTTGCTTCTTTCTCTCTTCCTCTTCAAGCTTCTTCTTTTCTTCCTCTTCTCGCCTCTTTAATTCTTCCTCAGCTTTCACCTTCTCTTCCTCTTTTTTCTTCCTTTCCTTGTCCTCTTTTTTTCGTTTGTCTTCCTCCAATTTCTTCTTCTTATCTTCAGGCACTTTAACTATGTCTCTCTTGGTGGTAAGTTTGACATCATCTTTTGTTTTTTCCCTGCTACTTACTGGTCTCCTTTCACTGCACTCCTTTTCTTTGTTATTTAATAGAGATTCTTTTTCTTCCATACTTGTTGGCTTTTTACGCTCAGCTGGCATTATGTTATCCAGGACAATCTGCAAAAATACAAGACCATCAGTATTTTAAGTCTGTTATTTTCCTTAGCAATTTGTAGTATGCCTTTATTTCCTAAAAATGAATTACAACTTAACAGCCTGTTAAAATTAAATATTACTCAATTTATGTAAAACTAAAGTACAAGTTCCTGGGATAATAATTTTTAGCCCTTGTATCACTAACATTTTTACCTGGTTTTCAAAAATTTTAAAGACCTTTCTTCATGCAAACATTTCATAAACGTTTACAAAGTTAGCTTACATAATATTCCTCAGAAGCATATTATACCTCCAGAAAAGAAAATATAAATGGTTCGTCCAGCATTATATGGAGCCATGAAAAGACTATTAAGATTCCCACCTTTTACTTCACTGATGGAACCAACAGATCATATTAACTACCACAAGAAAAACTGATCTGAGTAAAACATTTAAAACCAACTTTCTCCAAGCATCACAATAAAGAAACTTTTCATGAGGTAGAATAATTTTTTTTCAGTTGATACTCTATACCAGTGAGTCTTAACCTGAGGTCTATGGAACCTGTTTCGTGTTTTTTTTTTAATATTTTGATAAAGGTATTTCAATATAATTGGTTTTTCTTTGCAATTCTCTGCAACTTCTTTGCACTTAAAAACATTATTGAGAAGGTATGCAAGACACAAAAAAAAGGTTAAGAAGGAAAGGGGAGAGGAGGGTGAAATGTCTACAACATGAAGCCAAAAATCTAACCATAAAATATACTTAGAACACTGAAAGGCTGCTTGGTATAATAGATAAAGAGATTGCCTTAGTGTCAGGGAAGAACAAGGAAGACCTCAGGACACCCAAGGTCTGAGTTCTATCTAGGACAAATAATGACCATGGGACCCTAGGCATATCAATCTTTCAGCGCCTAAGCAACCATTCTTCAAAGTAAAAGCCAAATTCAGGTGCTTATTTTCACATACACAGAGGGAAAAATGCCAAGATATATGTAAGAAAGAGTAATATTACAAATTTTTTAAAATGTGCCTTAAAAGTTGCACATGGAATTTTCAAAGTGTTTTAAAATACAGATTGAACATACAGAATATTGAATTGAAGGAATAATGCAAATTATTTATCAAACAATATTTTCAATAAATGTTTATAACATTAATTACAACTTCATATTCTTCATGAATTACTTCAGCTATTGAGGGCCACTTGAGATAAATGTTGATACCATTTGCCAGATATTTTTGCTTCTCCATGCTCCTTTCTCATTATTTCCTTTTCCTTCCAATTTTCTTGGTCTGTGTAGCCTAGAAAAGCTAAATCTCTAAGTCCAAAACTGTAATCTACTGTTTTGTTTTTTAATTCCTTTCAATATAGATACATAGAAGTAAATATACCAAATCATTAACATTTAAATATCTGGAAATGCAGTTGTCAATTCTTATAATTCCAGCAAATAACAGCTTTAACAGGGAATTTTACTAGGTGGCTCTAACACATTGCCTTAAAAGCATACACTAATCTTCAGGGCTCTGACATCAGGCTGAGAATTAAGTTCTGAACATGGTTCCTAGCTTTATAATAAATGAAACTCAATATTGCTGGTTTCCATAAAACGTACTTAACAATTGACACCTGGGTATAAGATTGAATTAGAGAACACAGACATTTAAGTGTTGGATTTCGTTCACATTAAATTATTTTTTAAATAGTATTATTTCTACACTATTCAAGTAACTAGAAATACCCTTTGCCTTTTGGGCACATCCCCTGTGAAGGATTTAGAGGAGGACAAAGGCAACAATTGCAGGGATGAGAAGATATTTGATACTGCACTAATGAAGGAGCACTCACACAATCTACTGATTATGGATCAATTACTACGTTGAAGCAAATAGCAATATTAACACAGTATTTAGTGTTTATTAATTCTAATTTTGCACCCAAACATATACCACTTAATTTCTGTTTGGGAATGAGCAAGGGGCAGAGATGTTAAAAATTTAGCATGTTAAGTTATGAATATTAAATCTAGAGATTATTTTTCTTCTTAAAAAAAATAAAATCTATCAATTACAAATCTACCAGTTCCAAAAATAAAATCTATCAGTGACATTTATAAAGAGAAATGGCTTAATAGTTTAATAGCCTTGCAAACTACATGCACATTTGTATAGTACTAGAAAAGAAAAGACATCTCTCCTCATTTGTCTTATCCTATTAGAATATAAGCTACTGAAGGCCAAAGACTGGTTTGCTTTTGTATATAGATCCTCAGTAGTATTAAGTATTTAGTAATATTATAGTTTAATAATATATCACAAAACTTTTTCATTTACTTATCCTAGTACTGAAAGTTAACATTCAAAACGAGTCATTAGCAAATTTACCTACTACAGAAAGTTCAGATAAAAGCACAATTGTCTATATAAACCAGATGGTCTACAGAATTTTTTAAACACAATAAAAGTTTAATCAAACTTGTAACTGGAAGGGATCTTGGAAATCAACTAGTCAAACTCCTTCAATATTATTAGCCCAGGAGAGAGAGATCCAAGGAAGTTAAAAAATGACTAAAGCCAGTTAGAGGTGCAGTACCCAGAATTAGAACCTAAGTTTTCTGACTTCCCATCCAGGGCTCTTCCCACTACACCAATTTACCTCCCATATTTAGAAAGCCAAGTGAAAAAAAAGCCCACTTGATCCAAACCAAGTGTTGTTTTAACATTTTAGCTTAAAAGTTCAACTACGTGCAACATTACTTTTAATATAATGCTGAAATTATTACAAAATTCTGTAATTCACTACTTAGATCAGGCATAAATGCTGGAAAAGTTTACAATAAGAATGAAAAATAATCGAAGTTAAAATGTTAAATCCTTTTATTGAAGCAACAGAATGATCCTGAAAATAAAACTACATTGTCTGAGAGCTCTCCATTCACAAACGCAGTTCAGAACAGTGGAAAGAGGATTGGAATTGGAGTTGGGACATGGGGTTCAATTTCTGCCTCTGCTTCTACTACTTGTGTGAATTTATACATGTTACTTAACCTCTTGTGACTTCTATCTCTAATATCTAAGATCCGGATACCACTATCATTCATGTCACCCAGAAATGTACTTAGTACCTGATGTCTAATAAAGTACTTGAAAAGGCCGGGTTAGGAGCAGCAAGGTGGCACAGGGGATAGAGCACCAGACCTGGAGTCAGGAGGACCCGAGCTCAAACCCGGCCTCAGACACATAAACAGTCACTAGCTGTGTGACCGGGCAAGTCACTTAAGCCCAAATGCTTCCAAAGAAAAAGAGTTTAAAGCAGGGTTTCCATTTGTTGTGAGAAGGCAGCCTAAAGTAAGGGAAAAGGCATAGGTCCGCAATCAGAGGACCCGAGTTCAAGTCCCAGCTCAGATAGTGACTAGCTTAGCTGTGTGACCCTGGGCAATGTTACTTAACCTCTCTGTGCCTCGGTTTCCTCATCTGTAAAATGGGGATAATTCTTACATAAGGAAAGCACTTCAAAACATTAAAGCGCTGTATCAAAGTGAGCTGCTATCAACTGTTGATAGAGAAGTCTTGCAACGTATTTATTAACATTTGGAAGTTGTCACTTAGCTAGCATTCCCCCAAAAGCACAAAGCACCACACTACCTACTTCCCTAAAATGAACAAAGAGAATATGACAGTGTCATTTTCCTTTTGAGAGCTAACATATGGATTACAGGTTAAAATATAAAATTAGTGCTCTAAGAACACTCTTTAAGTCAATAAGAGAATATTGGTTTACTCTGTTCCCTTGTTTTTCAAGCTTCCACTAGTCTAAGGATACTATTGTACACAAGCCCAACGAATCTGGTTCCCGTCCATAATTCTTAAATTTTAAAGGATAGCAGCAGTCATAAGAGTTTATTTAAAAGGGACTCTGTGTGTGTGTGTGCGCGCGCGCAACTTTCACCAACGTTTACTGCAAAACTCCAACACTCATTAGAAGAAAAAAACCATATAGACAAAAAAAAATGGTGTGTCTATTAGCTTTACTTTCGATTCTCGAAAGGTATTACGTATAGCTCACTTTTCCCCTCATAGGCCAAGAAGGACAAAACTGCTAAAAGATAAAGGCAGTATATGGTGAGTCTTCTTGGACAGGCAACTTTTAACTGGCCGTGCAGTGACAGACCCTGACTCCAAGTCTTGCGGAGGCCCTCGGGAGGGCAGGTGGAGCAGGGAGCCCTCCTGCCCGGAGGGATCCACAGAAGTGGATCCAAATGACACTTCCACACCCCCAAATCCCCGTCCCACTCACGCCGGCTCCCCACAGCCCCGCTCGCGGCTCCCTGCGCTCTCCCTCTCAGACCTGTCCCACGCTCGGCCCCTGCAAACTTTGCTTTCCCACACTGCCCTAACACCTCGTTTCACTCGTGGCCCTGAGCTCCCCCGGCCCCAGGACACACGCACCTCCATCTGCTCTCACGCCCGCTGCACACCTCATGCTCGCCCATGCTCCTCGAAGCACCACCCGCCCCCAACACCCCCCTCAAAAAAAAAGAAAATCGCCCCTCAATTCTCCCCCTTCCCCGCTCCACGCCCCCCAACTCCCTCGGACCCCTCCACCTCCAGCCCTCGGCCCGGCCCAGGCTCCGAGGGGCGCGCACCCCGTCCTTCCCCTTCTCCAGTGGGCGGGGGCCGAGGGAGGGCGACCCCGTCGCCTCAGTCCCTTCCTCGGTCCCCACAGGGAGCTAAGGTATGGGGGGGGGAGGCGCCTCCTTCGTGTCCCTCCCTCCCTCCCCCCCCGCCCGCCCGCCCCGGGGAGCTGGGAAGGCAGGTTTCCCTCCCTCTAGCCCGCGACTGCTGCTTCTAGGGATAAGGGCGAATGTGGAGACGGAAGAGGTTCCGTCCCCAGCACTCACCTCTCGCCTGTTGTCAACATCAGCCCCGGGTTTCCCAGCACCAACTCTACCGCTCCGGCTCTCCTCTCTCCCCTCCCCCCCTCACCTATCTCCCCGACGAGGACCCGCCTTCCCCTCCGCTCCCCCTCCCTCCCCGCGCCCGCTGGCCCTCCCGCCCGCCACTCACCAACGCGAACCCGAACTGCGGGTGGGGGCGGGGCAGAGAGAGATGGAAGGAAGAAGCTGTCCGCGCGATTGCCTGAACGAAAGTCTCCCTGCCCGCCAGCTTGTGGGTGGTTGCCTACCACCCGTTCCTTGGCTCCTGGATGGCGACCCCCAAGTTCTCTAGGCAAATCCGAACCACCCCACCCTGACAAGTTCAGGCTGCTGGCTGGGAAGGGTCGAGGGGGAGACAAGTGGGATTTTCAGACCGGCGGTGTCAAGGACAACCCCCTCCACCTCTCTCCACCCACTACCACCTCCTCAACCCGGGGCCCCAGCAAAGGAAAGGAGGAGCGTTCTAACGGCCGGGAGACAGGAAGTGGGTTGGTCCCCAGGAAAGGGAGAGAGCAGGAGAGACAAGTACGCAGGCGCAGCCTCACCTAAGGAGGGGGTGAGAACTGGGACATGAGGCCCTGGGTTGGGAGGAGCCAAGAGCAACTACGGTAGCACGTTGGGGACAAAGTTAAGGATAGTTTGATAGGCGTGTAAGTTAGGATTTAAGAGGAAGATCTTTGGTGATGGTGGTAGGGGAAGAAGAAAGATTTGGGCTTTGGGAAGGGAGTCATTCATAGGAACATAGCAGATATTGTAATAAATTTAGCTACCTAAGGATTCGAGAGGAAAGGGGGCAGCGAAAATAAGCAAAGGAATTTTTAAAATCTTTGCCCTAAAATCCTCCACTCTACCAAATAGGAGGAGTTTCAGTTCCCACGCCATTGTTGGAAAGAACCAGGTTAAACAGGTTTGTTTCCAAAAAATTCCCATAAGAACTCCCTGGCCTATTGAGCATGCTCACGTCATCCTCTAACTTTTGAAAACCTTTACGTCACCTAACCAATGTCCTGGTTTCAGTGTAGACATGAGGAAGCGAAAAACATCTGTTATGAGTGTTGGAATGCCTTATGAACGCACCTTTCTCCTTTTTCAGTTCTTAACCTAATCGAGGGATTTCCAGCCCCTTTTTTAAAATTCTTTTTTGCTTTTTAGGCAATTGGGGTTAAGTGACTTGCCCAGGGTCACACAGCTAGTGTCAAGTGTTTGGTCTGAGGCTTAATTTGAATTCAGGTCCTCTTGATTTCAGGGCCCGTGCTCTATCCACTGCGCCACCTAGCTGCTCCGATTTCCAGCCTCTTGATGTTGCAATATCATATATCATTTCCCAACAAACCCTCCTTTTATTAAAAATGCTGTGTACGTAAAATGATCCTGTTCTCCAATCAAAAATGGGAATGCTTGGTCTGACAATTTGGATGGAAGAGAAAGGAAGAGGAATGTTTGGTCTGTAAGGACAGTGTCACGCCAGCTATGCTGCTTTTGGACTTCTTTGGATCTTTCCATCATGCATTAAGAAACTCATCTGTTCCCCAATTGATAAATGATCAAAGGATATGAACAGGCAGTTTTCAGATGGAGAAATTAAAGCTACCTATAGTCATATCAAAAAAATGCTCTAAATCACTATTGATCAGAGAAACACAAATTAACTCTGAGGTACCACATCTCACCTATCCAACTGGCTAATACGACAACACAGGAAAATGATAAATGTTGGCCGAAGATGTGGGAAAACTGGAACACTAATGCATTGTTGGGGGAGTGGTGAACTGATCCAACCATTCTGGAGAACAATTTGGAACTATGCCCAAAGGGCTATAAAACTATGCAAACCCTTTGATCCAGCAATACGACTACTAGGTCTGTATCTGAAAGAGATCATAGAAAAGAGGAAAGGACCCACATGTACAAAAATATTATAGCAGCTCTTTTTGTAGTGACCAAGAATTGGAAATTGAAGGTATGCCCATCAGTTGAGGAATGGCTGAACAAGTTGTGGTATATGAATGTAATGAATGTTATTGTTCCGTAAGAAATGGTGAGCAGGCAGACTTCAGAAAAACCTTGAAAGATTTGCATGAATTGATGCTGAGTGAAGTGAGCAGAACCAGGAGAACACTGTACACACTAACAGCAACACTGTGCAATGACCAACATTGTTAGACTTAGCTCTTCTGAGCAATGTAGTGATCTAAGACAATTCCAAAAGACTCATGATGGAAAATGCCATCCATATCCAGAGAAAGAACTATGGAGTCTGAATGCCGATCGAAGCATACTATTTTCTCTTTCTTTTGTTGTTTTTTGGGGTTTTTTTCTTTCTCATGTTTTTTTTCCCCTTTTGTTCTGATGCTTCTTTCACAACATGATTAATGTGGAAATATGTTTAATATGATCATGCATATACAGCCTATATCAGATTTCATGCTCTCTTGGGGAAGGGAGAGTGGAGGGGGGAGGGAAAAATTTAGAACTCAAAATCTTATAAAAGCGATTGTTGAGAACTAAAAAGAAATAAATTAATTAAAATTTAAAAAAAAAGAACCCATCAACTCAGAATTGAATCTGTCTGAGTACTCACATCTCGTCAGTACCTTCTGTATCTCTGATTGTATTCTCTGCCAGAGGACAGAGCCATGAGCTCCAGGGTCTTTATTTAAGGAGGGAGTTCATTATAGTTTTGTCCTTATTTTGGATTTTCAGCTTCCTTTTGTGCATCTTCCCCCATTCCATTGTAAGCTCCTTGAAGGTAGAGTTTCTCTTTGCAGCTATTTGTATCCCCATCACTTGCATAGTACCTGGCACACAGTAAGTGCTTAATGTTTATTGACTAGAAGTGGGGCAGAAAATTTTAAGTGGGGACAGTTCAGGGAAATCTTCATAGATACAAGGAATTTAAATCAATAAAAAGTTTTTGTAAAACATTTTGTGACAATCCTCCCTCACTTTTAACAATCATTTTTCTGGGGAATAACTTTATAGAAAGGTTTTGAGGAAGTGTCTTTATATCTAAACAAAATGTTATATATTTTAATTTAATAAATTTGTAATATCCCGCAAGGTAATTGGAGATTCCCTTAGTTCACAAAACTAAGGTCAAGAATCATTGCTTTGGGGGCAACTAGGTGACGCAGTGGATAGAGCTCCAGCCCTGGAGTCAGGAGGACCTGAGTTCAAATCTGGATGCAGACACTTGACACTAGCTCTGTGACCCTGGGTAAATCACTTAACCCTGATTGACTCATCAAAAAAAAAGAGAGAGAGAAAAAAAAAAACAAGAACCACTACTTTAAGATTGGAATGAAGGTTTCAGAAAAATATGGAAAGATTTATGTGAACTGATATAGAATAAAGTAAAAAGAACCAGGAAAATAATATATCCAAAGATTACCATAATGCAAATAGGAAGAACTATAAAATGAAACTCAACTTCATACAATTAGCAGGCTTAAAGAGTTGAAAAAATAAATTCTTTCTTTTGGCTACAAAGGTGAGGGGGTATAAATGTGGAATAATCATTAACATTTATTAGGTTCCCTCTATATGCCAGGCACTGTGCTAAGTGCCAGGGGGTACAAAAAGAGGCAAAAGACAATCCTTGCTCTCAAGGAGCTAACAATCTAATGGGGAAAACAGCATGCAAACAAATCTATACAAAGCAAGCTATAGACAAGGTAAATAGGAAATAATTAACAGAAGGAAGTGCTAGAATTAAGAGAATTGGGGAAGGTTTCCCAGAAAAGAAAGGATTTCAGTTGGGACTGAAAGAAAGCCAGGGAGGTGAGAAGTCAGACTAGAGGAGGGAGTACATGCCAGGCATGGAGGATAGCCAGTCAGAATGCTCAGAGCCAAGAGATGGAAAGTTTTATTCATGCAACAGCCAGGAGACCAAAGTCACTGGTTTAGTGAATACTTGTTGGGGAGTAAGGTATAAGAAGACTAGAAAGGTAGAACGAGGCATTTTGTATTTGCTCCTGGAGGCAATAGGAAGCCACTGGAGTTGATTGAGTAGGACAGTGACACGACTGGATCTATGTTTTAGGGAAATCACTTATAGTTGGAAGATGGATTGGAGTGGGAGAGACTGGAGGAAGGCAGACCCACCAGCAGGCTATTTCAATAATCAAGGCATGAGGTGATAAGGGCCTGCACCAGAGTAGTAGCAGAGTCAGAGGAGAGAAGGGAGTGTATTCTAGAGATATTACAAAGACGAAATTGACAGGCTTTGAATGACAATAGCTAGAATATGGAGAGTGAGTGAAAATGACGAATCCAGGATGACTTCTAGGTTGCAACCCTGGGCAACTGGAAGGATGATGTTGCCCTCTACAGTAATAGGGAAAGCAGGAGGAGGGGAAAGTTTAGGGAGAAAGAAAATGAGTTCAATTTGGACATATTGAGATATCTACTGGACATCTGGTTCAAGATGTCTGAAAGGCAGTTGGAGATTTGAGATTAGAGGAAAATGAAGATAGAGGGAAAAGTCGTGGGATTTAGCAAACAAGACATCATTAATAAATTTGGAGAGAGCAGTTTCAGTGGAATGAGAAGGTTAGAAGCCAGGTTGTAAGGAATTAAGAGGTGAGTGAGAGAAGAGAAAGTG